TGGAATGCATTTTCATGAAAGTACACAAAGGCTTAAATTGATAACGTCATCAATGCTACATAAATAGTCTGCACAGGAAACGAAGAAAATATGCAGCCAGTGACATGGACGAGAGTTCTCAAAGCACTTTTACTATTACACAAAATGTATTGTAATTGCCACCAATAAATCATTCAACTTTAATATTTGGAAGAAGATTATCGAGTTTGATCCAGATGATTGCCTCCAAATCAAATTTCTACACTACATAAAAAAGATATCGGGAAATAATAATTATTGTATCTTTTATATTCGTGAATGATACTCTTCATGGCCGTCTGCATTTGAAATTTGTTTCTTTACCGATTTTTCCACCATTCGAAGATATTTGTTCAATATTTTCCTCTTATCCCTGATTGTACTCTCTTTCTCTTCTCTCTCTCTCTCTCTCTCTCTCTCTCTCTCTCTCTCTCTCTCTCTCTCTCTCTCTCTCTCTCTCTGACAGATGGCACAATGGCATGACGTCATATCACAATACAAAGGACAAATAAGAAAACGTCATGGGAACAATAAAATACGGGTCACATAAAAACATAAAGCATCAGATTTGACAATTCGGGTTGAGATTTCACTGTCATTGCAAGAAAGATTGGGATGATATCATTTACAAGTAATATGTCAATCTTGACATTATACATTTTAAAACCATAAAAATGTATCCATGTGCAAGAATTTGCATGCTGAACGTTACACAAACCTTAAAATGTTGGTGAACCTAAATTGAACCAGTTAATATCCACAACTACATGTATTATTAGTTTGGCAATTTTGTCCAATGGCATTTTGTGAACACCTCAAAAATGTTACTTTCTTTTTTTCTTTCTTTCTGCGTTGCGTCCTCTAAACAGCCATATAAAGACGGATAGTATACAATGTAAACTGGCATGGTTGCACTCGGTCATGTTTACAGTAAAAGCAGTTCTGCTATTTTCACAAATTAAACAGACATTTTTTGCATGAATTGGTTCAGGAATCATTGCGTATATCGTACAAAAATCAGCGTAATGAAAAAATATGTATTTGTAAGAAAAGCAAACAAATTACAAATATTCCAATTGATACATATTTCCACATAATTTTTGCATTGAACATTGACGATGATTTTCAATATGATGCATACAATTTCATAACGTAACATAACACATACACAATAATTGAGTGAATCTCAAGTTCTTTGTGAATATTAAAGAACAGAATTGTCCGTGAAATTTAAGAAATCTTAAGTGCTATTATATGTCCCAAACAACCAGTAATAGAAATTATCAACTTTAGTAAATAGGAAAGTACTAGAAATTTGTTAATATACACAAAAACTACCTTACCCATATGGTGTGCAAATACTTCAATTGTGAAATTAAAGTGTTTATAAAATTTCATAAAATAAGGAGCAAATTGTCAATAGAAACTAGGCATTGTCGGAATAAGTTTACCAACATACTATCCTTGTATTATCACAGAAAATATTTGATAAGTTCGAATGAGTATTCAGAAAACGAAAGCTTAAATATCAAACTACTCAATAAGTGGTTCAATTCTGCTATTCAATATAAGCTACATAAAATTTTAAACTTAGGCTCTGTGCAAGAATAATTTCTGAGAACTACATAAATACCAAAGCATTGTAAACAGATAAACAATGTATCAAAAGTTTATAGAAAAAGTGCCAACATGAGACTGCATTACACACAGTGATAAGTGTGCAGGCAACTCGCACACCAGAAATGGAAGACCTTGAATAAATACTAGTGATGTTTTATTCATGCAAAATGGATCGTGATTGATTATGAGAAACCTTAAACCCTATGCCTGTAAAAATATACTACTTTCAAATTCTATTTATTCTGGTTTATATTAAATGTACAACAAAAAATAATTCAGGGTTATTTTAAAAACAGATGCCATAACATATCTTGTACAGCACGTAGATAAACCTACACAACCTTAACTGTTGCAATAAACCAATTACAGCAACAACAATTACAGATGATTTTTGTGTTTCACTCGGAAACTGTCGTGGGATTTCTGTCATATTTTTAATATTACCACAAACCAGTCACGGCAGAACATCACACTGAAATTGTAACGGAAACTCATGACTGGTTTCCTGTTGATGCCTATTTCCTAACAGGAATGGCAACCTCCATTTGGTAAACAGTTTAATATGTGTCATGAACACAAAGAAACCACTAAGACAAATGAACATTTCTTATAGTTTGAACATAACCATAATGATTAAAATGTATCTTTTAACCTTTATGATGGTAGTATGCAACACTGTTCCATTCAAAAATGTTCTCCATGATGGGCAGTAGCAGTAGTTCATCATGAAATACATACTCACTTTTGAACAGAACTGTGTTGCAAAGTATGGACAATGCTGGACTATAGTAGAACTGAAGCTTTAACTTAAGTCTCAGTTTGTCAGAGGCCACAGCTGATATAGTGGTTTCAACGAGAGGTGGTTGGTTTTCATGTTTATCTAATTCGAGTGAGTTAATTTTCAAAATTTAACAAGAGGCCCATGGGCCTTAACGGTCACCTGATATATTTATACAGAGTTGATTTTGTTTTTAACATGAACAGAATTATTATTTTAAGTGACAAAAAAACAGTAAAACCACCTTATTCAATATCTAGCATACAGATTTAAGACTAAAAAGTATTTGAAACTAGCACCACTGATTCTAAACAAGGAAAATGAAGAAATTTTAGCACACTGACTCCTTTGGGCCCCACCCTACAGCCCTTGGGGGTAGGGCTGGCTCAAAATGTAATATTCAAAGTATCATTTGCCATTATAAACCATAATAAATTTTGCCGCCCCCCCAAAATGTGATTTCCCTATATAAACTATAGTTAAGTTTACCCCCTCCCCAGGGGAAAATGTGAGACCCCAGGGTCAGGAAATTCACAATTTTTGTAAAGCACCTTAAGACCCTTCCATCTATGAAGAGTATTTGATTCTACCATATCTGGGTCTTGAGAAGAAGTGTTTTGAAATTTTAGTCAATTTGACCCTTTTTGGCCCCACCCATCAGCCCCGGGGGGTCAGTCAGGGCTGATATGTGCATACTATCAAACTGCTACCTAATACTGATAATGCTAACCTAAATTGAATTACTTCCAATGGAAATTAAACAAATGTTGGTCCAAAATGTGATTTCCCTATATAAACTATAGTAAAGTTTACCCCCTCCCCAGGGGAAAACGTGAGACCCCAGGGTCAAGAAATTCACAATTTTGGTAAAGCACCTTAAGACCCTTCCATCTATGAAGAGTATTTGATTCTACCATATCTTGGTCTTGAGAAGAAGATTTTTGAAATTTTAGTCAATTTGACCCTTTTTGGCCCCGCCCCTCAGGCCCCTGGGGGCTTAGGACTAATCCGGCAACTGTTTTTGTTTACCTTTGTCCATGGAAGGTTCCTGCAAAATTTCATTGAAATTGGTTCAGTGGTTTTGGAGAAGAAGTCGAAAATGTAAATTGTTTACGGACGCACGACGGACGATGGACGACGACGGACAAAAGGCGATCGCAATAGGTCACTTGAGACTTTGTCTCAGGTGACCTAAAAAGACAGAGGTTTACCGAGTGTCTTCTACAATTTGAAAAGTAACTTACAAGAGTAAGATAGACATGATAAACAACCATCACCTGTTTGAGCATCTTTATCTCCCATAATGTTCAGATACATTATCTAGAAACTCTTTGGTTTTCTCTTGGGAATGTATTATTCCTGTTTCCAATCGGGGAAACAATTGGCATGAACTATGACATCACAATAGAGCATGACGTCGCAAAGCATTGCAAATTGATATGGTTATTAAACTATTGATCAGTGAAATCGGGCCCAGGGTGTTACCAATGTTAAATATTGGTCAGTGAAATCCGGCCCAGGGTGTTACCGATGTTTACTATTGGTCAGTGAAACCAGGCACAGGGTGTTACCAATATTAATTATTGGTCTGCGAAATCGGAGCCCAGGGAGTTACCAATGTTAACTATAGGTCACTGAAATCGGGCCCAGGGAGTTACCAATGTTAACTATTGGGCAGTGAAATCAGGCCCAGGGGGTTACCAATGTTAATTATTTGTCTGTGAAAACCGAGCCCAGGGTGTTAGCAATGTTAACTATTGGTAAGTGAAATCAGGCCCAGGGTGTTACCAATGTTAATTATTGGTCTGTGAAATCGGAGCCCAGGGTGTTACCAATGTTAACTATTGGTCACTGAAATCGGGCCCAGGGTGTTACCAATGTTAACTATTGGTCAGTGAAATAAGGCCCAGGGTGTTACCAATGTTAATTATTGGTCTGTTAAATCGGAGCCCAGGGTGTTACCAATGTTAACTATTGGTCACTGAAATCGGGCCCAGGATGTTACCAATGTTTACTATTGGTCAGTGAAATCGGGCCCAGGGAGTTACCAATGTTAACTATTGGTCACTGAAATCGGGCCCAGGGTGTTACCAGTGTTAACTATTGGTCAGTGAAATCAGGCCCATGGTGTTACCAATGTTAATTATTGGTCAGTGAAATCAGGCCCAGGGTGTTACCAATGTTAATTATTGGTCAGTGAAATCGGAGCCCAGGGTGTTACCAATGTTAACTATTGGTCACTGAAATCGGGCCCAGGATGTTACCAATGTTTACTATTGGTCAGTGAAATCGGGCCCAGGGTGTTACCAATGTTAACTATTGGTCAATGAAATCGGGCCCAGGATGTTACCAATGTTTACTATTGGTCAGTCAAATCGGGCCCAGGGTGTTACCAATGTTTACTACTGGTCAGTGAAATCAGGCCCAGGGTGTTATCAATGTTAACTATTGATCAGTGAAATCAGGTCCAGGGTGTTACCAATGTTAACTATTGATCACTGAAATCGGGCCCAGGATGTTACCAATGTTTACTATTGGTCAGTGAAATTGGGCCCAGGGTGTTACCAATGTTAACTATTGATCACTGAAATCGGGCCCAGGATGTTACCAATGTTTACTATTGGTCAGTCAAATCGGGCCCAGGGTGTTACCAATGTTAACTATTGATCAGTGAAATCAGGTCCAGGGTGTTACCAATGTTAACTATTGGTCAATGAAATCGGGCCCAGGATGTTACCAATGTTTACTATTGGTCAGTGAAATCAGGCCCAGGGTGTTACCAATGTTAACTAACTCCTCGTAGGGTTATCCAATGAGTTGGGAGTAAGGAAACCCAATGTGGTTGTGGGAGGATTTGATAACATTTGTTAACATGTACAAGCCCATAGATACTCATACAAAGGTTGTTAGAATTTGGCTCCTAGCTTTTTAAGAATGTGTCAGACAAGAAGTTCATTAGAGGAATTTAATTATTTACACCACGCTGGTCTTTAACCTTTTCAACCCTATGTAACTTTAGTAGACTCTACCATGCATTTATCTAGATGAGTCCATCTTGGTCTACAGTGGTGAAAGGGTTAAGACATACTGATTATAATGTAATGACAGTGGATATCTATCATCAGTTACCACACTGTTGTCATGATATAGAAACTAGGTTGATAATTCATATTGCATCATCACATTTGGAGTATTGAAATACCAATCAAATACTGCAAAATCATTACTTTTTGTGGGGGTTTTAATTTTATTGATTTGGTGGGTTATCTTCTTCCACGATTTCATAGGCTTATGAAGTAAATACAAGTTTAACATAAAGCAACTCTCCCTTTGAGTGGGTACTTGTAATCCATAAACTCATGTATACTACCCATGAAATGGTGTTTTGTCGCAAAACCGTGAAATTTGGGCCCCACGAAAATATCTTATTTCACGGTAAGTACAAGGTCACATTATGCAAGCAACATATTCAGTATTTATGTAAATATAATATGGCCATGCAATCACTGTTTAACACAGCGGTGTGATAAATTGTCGGAGGTTCAAATTACTTTGAAACTGATATTGAAACGTTGATATTGAAATTGGTTCAAGTTTTGACAAAGCAAACATCATTCCTCTATTCAATAAAAATTAGATATTCTTAATTGCCTTGTGCCATTCACAATAAAGCTTATATCATTTCAATCCAGTCGTAAGCAAATCAATATTGACTAAGATCAATTAACTATAGCAACTTGTAATACCGTGGTTAGTACAATAAACCACCCGTATCATGTTCATGTATTCTGCATTACTGACAAACTCTATTCTGATGTTAATCACCCATTTTCGGAGGATTTTTAGTATTCTTTTGCATGTGAATTCACAAGCAGAGATGATTGCTAATTTTAACATCTCGTTAACATTTCTTTAAGCATATTAAATGAGGAACAAGTTGTTAATTCTACAAATTAATATATTTCCTTGAATATGTCAGAGGAAGTAAAATAACAAAAACTAAGTGGTTTACTGCAGTTTGGTGCAGTAAAACAAAACTCTTTACACAAGTTGTAAACAATAACACAGTTTGCAACAAACTTAAAAGCAAATAGAAAGTATTAACCTTGATGCTAAGGCAAAAGTCAATATCATTGCAAGAATATTTCCCTGCAAAACAGCATTTTAATCTTACCAGTACAAGTGTTTTGTACAATTACTGGCAACATTGGAGTATGTTGAGAGTACTTTGATAAAATAAAGTATCAATGCTACCACCGTTGACAAGTCACACTTGTCCAGTGTTCCACACTGAGGAAAGTGTAACAATTCTTTGGTAAATTAATTAATTGATGACAAAGAATATCAAAGACATCAAAGAATACATATATTGATGACACGCTTATAGGAAATACTGAATTATCGGACAATGCTCATAAAATTGTTCAAACAGGGATTAGTTGTTCAACTTCATGCACCTGATAAGCTTAACCTGTCTTCAATGTAAAAATTTAAAAAGAAATTGACAAATATTTTTGGTGTCTATCATTTTCAAACTACCCTTTTGAATCCCTCTACTGATCATTTTAGTTTTAAATTTCGATATTTTTGAAATACACTGAATGAATTTTTTGCATTTACCTTTGCTTTAAGCTAACCAGGCTTTGGACAAGTGGGACTAAGAGATAAAAACTTAGCATCAATTTATGCGTTCTTGAATATCCTTCTAATGTGTTGTTAACATATCAACCATGTGTGCTCAGTGACATTTACTATGACATCACAACCAGATGACAATGTTATTTTACAAAGTCACCATCAAAAGCTTGTCAAAATGGTGTATGACTGACTGACAGTTTTACATTTGGCAAGTAACGCCACCTCAGGCACCATTTATTCATCTTAACTTTCAGTCAATAAGGAGAATATCTCAGCAAAGACTTACCTTTTTTTATCTTTGGAGAAACTAAGAAGTTTCATACATAGTCTAAGCAAGTAACAAAATAACATCAGATCCTAATTTAATACCATACTCCTCACAGATTATCAAAAACAATGAGGATTTGATTTTAATTTGGAGAGTGGATAGGATAAAACTAATAATTTTACCATAATTAAACATACATCCCAGACCCTCACCCAGAACATACAAATTAATCTGAAACTGACATCTTTCTCTCTCAGTAACTGAGTTGCATTATGTTTTTCACACACAAGTTTTAATTTGACCTTGATGGTCGTTTCCTGAACTGGAAGCTGAGACTCGGCGTGTCATCACAAATACCGAGGTCGAGCGGCGAGCCATTCTCATCTTGGGAGCCTCGCAAACATTTACCAGTGGCTGGGTTATACAGCATCATCACAGACCCGTTCTGAAATGTCATAAATATACCTCAATTATCTCTAGTAGAAGAAGTTAGAATCAAATAGACCTCAAACAGCTCAGATAAAACAAGGTACCATATACTTAGTTTAGTGGACTAAAATTTGAGCATTTTATCAAATTTTTACAGATTAGCACACTACAATACAATAGAAAACTATTTACAGAAATGTCAATTATGATGATGTAGCAAAAGTTTATGTACATTATGATTATTTTCGATTTCAGGTTTGACAGACAGAACTGAAGCACAGTTAAGGATATGATTTTTGTTGTAATTGAAGCAATTAAAGGGGAAATTTAAACCTTTTGTTACTTACACAATATTTATTGACTAGTATATCTTGACAAGAAATACAAATTCTTGAAATGACTCTTTGATAAAGTCAAATTAAGAATACCTTCTAAGCATTGGAGGACAGTGCTGGTTGACTGATAAAAATAAAATACTTCACATGATAAATAGTGTAGAGGCAAAATGATAGATAAAACCTAAATACCTGGATGATTTCAGTTTCAACCTGAGCCACCATATTTACAGGGGACAACAAACATGTGATATAACAAGCATATTGACCGCATCTATCCTACAACAAGCCAATGAGGCTAATACATGACCTCTGACCCTAATTTGGGGTTGGGCTTATTGCAGGACAATTAACTATTGATTTCTACTTAATATGGATGGGCTTATTACCAGGCATGGGCTTATTGGCTGTAAAACATGTCAGCCACAACCTACAAGGTGAGGACATATATAGACTGTACCTTTTTGATAGTCCAGGACTGAGATCCTCCGTTTCCATGACATTTCATTAGCCGGGCAAAGGACCGGCCCTGAAAGACATTTTCTACATCAAGACACAAAATGTCACTCAGCAACAGTTCATCGTCTTTTGATTTATACCAGGTCTGTAACACAAAGTGAGAAAGTGATGATAGAACCATAGGCCAAAGTCTACATGAAATTCAGCAGGTTTGTTAAAAATGTCAGACCCTATACTTCTTCCAAAATTCATTCTCTTGTATAACAAGAGGCCCAATGGGCCTGCATCGCTCACCGGGTATTAATCTCACAATTATAACTTTAAAAGAGGACTAAAATAAAGCTACAAGCAAAATATCAGTGTCTTGATTTCAAATCATTTAGATGAACCTGTTAAAGGATTAAAACACATTTGACCACTGTGACCTTGAAAGTCAAACAAGGACATTAAGTTAATAAAAACTTCATAGCCCTTCATCCCAGATTTCATTGCCAAATATCACCACCCTATACCTTTTGTTTATTGAGAAGATGACTTTTAAAGATGTATGCACTATGGACCAGATGTGACCATGAAAATGTGTCAAGGTCATTCATTTGAACAAACTTGATAACCTTTTATCCCAACATCCTTCTGACCAAATATCATCACCCTGGACCTTTTGGTTATACAGAAGTCATTTTTAGGTTTTTAAGAAAATTGACCCCTGTGACCTTGAATGTGAGTGAAGGTCATTCATTTGAACTTGGTAGCCATTCATGCCAACATTTTTCTGGCCAAATATCATAACCTTGGTCATTTTGGTAATACAGAAGTCATTTTTAGGTTTTTAAGAAAATTGACCCCTGTGACCTTGAATATGAGTAAAGGTCATTCATTTGAACAAGAGACTGGGCCAAAATAGCTCACCTGGTATTAAACTCACTCTTGTAATCTTAAAAGTGGACTAAAATACAGCTACAGGCAGAATATCAGCTTTTGATTCATTAGAACCTATTGAAAGATTAAACATATAACGCCTGTGACCTTTAATATCGAACAATGACATCAGGTTGAACAGAGTTTATAGTCTTCCAACCCAGCATGCTTCTGGCAAAATATCATTACCCTAGATCTTTTGGTTATACCGAACAAGTCATTTAAAGATTTAAACATATATTGACTACTGTGGCCTTGAATATGGGTGGAGGTCATTCATTTGAACAAACTTGGTAGCCCTTTCTATTATCCCGTCATGCTACTGGCCAAATATCATCACCCTGGGCATTTTGATTATTCAGAAGAAGTTGTTTAACAGTAAAATATTGATGCCGGAGGATGTACGGAGGATGTATGGACGACGGACGCCGCACCACTTACAAACTTGCATTGGTAGCCCTTCATGCCAACATCCTTCTGGCTATATATCATCACGCTGGACATTTTGGTGATACAGAAGAGGTTGTTTAAATATTCCAACATATTTGACCCCCTTGACCTTGAAGATTTGTGAAGGTCATTCATTTAAACAAACTTGGTAGTGCTTCATCCCTGCATGTTATTGACTAACTATCATTATCCTTGGCCTTCTGGTTATTCAGAACAAGTTGTTTAAAGATTTTTACATATTTGACCCCTGTGACCTTGAAAATGGGCAAAGGTCATTCATTTGAACAAACTTTAAAGCCCTTCATCCCTGCATGCTACTGGCAAAATATCATCACCCTGAAACATACAGTAGAAGTTGTTTAAAGGTTTTTAAGACAATTGATCCCTGTGACCTTGAAAATATCAACACCCTAGGCCTCTTGGTTATTTAGAAGAAGTTATTTAAAAGTTTAAACATATTTGACCCCCCCTGTAAACTTGAATATGGGTGAAGGTCATTCATTTGAACAAACTTGGTAGTGCTCTATCCCAGCATGTTATTGACCAAATATCATCATCCTGGGTCTCTTGGTTATTCAGAAGAAGTTGTTTAAAGTAAAAAGTTGACGAAGGACGGACGGATGGACGACGGACGCTGCACAATGGCATAAGCCCAAAGGGCCAGGTGAGCCAAAAATATGTTTAAAATATTTACATTCATGCTTAAATCTTGTCTATGAATGTTGAAAATACTGAAATTCATGCTTAAAACTGTATGTTTTTTTCATTAAATATTCACTTGTAATTTTTCAGATTTGACTTAAAATTGAATTCTGAACATTTAGTTAAAGACTTAATAAGCCTATCAGGCCCCAACAAGTTGGCACTGATGTTGAAGCATCTGTAGAAAAAAGTCTTAAAATTGTCAAAAATAAGATTGTAAAAGAAGTATTCCAGACATTAATAGTGTGTGTAAATTCGGGAAAAGAGATTGAGTGAACTGGAAATCTCAAAACCAGTATCTGTACAAAACCCCCACAAATATTATCAGTTTTTTGGTGAAATTAAAATAAGGAAATATTATAAGCAGTCCAGCTGGTTGCTCAACTATGAAATCCTCATCCTCGAGATCCAGGGGTTATGCACACTTTCACTCTCTGCACCCCTGGAATATGCCATTGAAAAATTGAAGGCTCAGTTTGCACCACCTTGTGGGTGTTTGATTGCGTAACAGTAAAAATGACAGGCTTTGAAGTCGGGTGTCGCTCCTCTGTAATCTTTAAAGGACAGGTATCAGTCTAGTGATTGGTCCAGTTGTTTTACCCGAGACCAATCAAATAGTTTATATCTTCATGCCTTCAATTTTGCTATGACATATTCCAGAGGTGCAGAGAGTAAGTGAGCGTAATCCCTGGAGTATCAAGCATTTGAAATCCTGGAAGACCAGACAGATTTTGGGCACCCAGGATACTGTGAGAGTTGAACCCTGCCTCTTCACTACTCAATGTTGACAATATCTAGGAGACAGAGAATGATGACCTTTTTAAGGTAGACAGAAGGAATACCTGGTATTTATATTCCTTGCCAAAGTCCTGACAAGGTTCCAGCACAAGCATGGCTTTCTTAGTGAACACATCCGACTCCGATTGGACACACAGGCTGGAGTGTAGGTGATATATCTGGCCACGAAGGGCGGAGGCCACCTTCTCTTTGCGCTTGAATTTCCCCAAGGAGAGAGGAGCATCTTTCTTGTCAGTTGGCAATACCTTATAGAAAAAAAAAACCCACTGAAATTAAAGATATTGTTACTGGAATATCATGAGTATGCTGGAAAATTTTCGCTGTAGTTTTACTTCCGCCTTTTTCGCCCTCTGTAATGAAGGCAAATTTATCATTACAGTGAACATTTGTAAACAGCATAATATACATAGTAATTAAAAGTGAAGGGGGAATTAAATATTGGGCGAAAATAGATTCTACTGTCGAAGGGCGTCACTTTGACTTAGTGAAGATTTCCTGGTATACAGTAGTTCCGAGAGTAAACAATTTTAACCAATGTATAACACTTACATTTACTGTATACTTCTTATAGTTTATATTTATTGTACAGTAGTTAGGCACATTTACTTATATTTCAGCAAAGTTTCAGTTTTGCTCCAAAAACAAACAATAGGCCCAATGGGCCTGCATCGCTCACCTGGTATTAATCTCACAATTGTTTCCTTAAGAGTGGACTAAAATAAAGCTACAGGCAAAATATCAGTGTCTTGACTAAAGTCGATTAAAACACATATGACCCCTGTGACCTTGAAAGTCAAACATGGACATTAAATTGAACAAACTCTATAGCCTTCCTCACAGGATGCAACTTGTCAAACATCATCCAAATGGCCCTATACCTTTTGTTGACTTTTAAAGAGTTATGCACTGTGGACCAGATGTGACCTTGAAAGTATGTCAAGGTCATTCACATGAACAACCGATCACCCTGGAATTTGAAGTTATTCAGAAGTTGTTTTTAAGTGTTTTTAAGACAAATAACCTGTGACCTTGAATATGGGCGAAAGGTCATTCATTTGAACAAACTTTGTAGCCCTTCATCCAAGCATACTATGGCCAAATATCACCCTGGGCATTTTGGTTATTCAGAAGAAGTCGTTTTAAGATTTTAACATATTTGACCACTATGACCTTGACTCTGAATGAAGTTCATTCATTTGAACATACTTCATAGCCTTTATACCAGCATGTTACTGGCCAAATATCATCAGCCTGGGCCTCTTGGTTACTTAGAGGAAGTTGTTTAATAGTTTAAACATATTTGACCCCTGTGACCTTGAATATGGGCAAAGGTCATTAATGTGAACAAACTTGGTAGCTCTTCATCCAGGCATGCTACTGGCCAAATATTATCAGCCTGGGCCTCTTGGTTATTCAGCAGAGGTTTTTTAAAATTTTCAACATATTTGATCCCTGTGAACTTGAATATGGGCGAAGGTCATTCATTTGAACCAATTTGGTAGTGCTTCATCCCAGCATGTAATTGGCCAAACATCGAAACCCTAGGCCTCTTGGTTATTTAGAAGAAGTTGTTTAAAAGTTTAACAAATTTGACCCCTGTGACATTGAATACAGGTCAAGGTCATTTCTTTTCGCAAACTTCGTCAGACATTATCCTAGGAACATATCAGCCAAATAGTATGCTTCAGGGCCTTTCAGTTAATCAGAAGAAGTCGTTTAAATGTTTTAACAAATTTGACCCCTTTGTCCTTGAATATGGGTCAAGGTCATTTCTTTTCGCAAACCTTGTCGTGCGTCATCCTAGAAACTTATGAACCAAATATCATGCTTCTGGGCCTTTCGTTCAATCAGAAGAAGTCATTTTAAGGTTTTAACAAATTTGACCCCTGTGACCTTGAATATGGGTCAAGGTCATTTCTTTTTCCAAACTTTGTTGGGCTTCATCCCAGCAACCAACCAGATGCCGCACCACGGCATAAGCTCACATGGGCCGAGAAGTAAAAATATGTAATTTGAAATTTGAATCTAACAAATCTCAGAGTTTTTCTACCTAAATTTTACAACAGCCTGTTTCTTTTTGAACTGGAAGAAAATAGCATTAATTTTAAAAGAAATAAGGCCAATATTCTTATTTTTTTATCATTTTGGGAAAATAACAAACATTTTTGGTAGGGAAAGCAGCCTATTTTGGAGGTAAAACTAGGCAAAAAAATCACTGAGTCTGTTTCCATTCTGAAAAAAAGTTATTTAATTTTCAGTTTTTCGTGATGAAGAGTAAGGCTCACAAACCTGTTCAGGATAAATGTTTTCCAGGTACCATTTAAATGATTTACATCCGAGCTGTTTACGGAGAACCACTCGGTCAGAAATGTCTCCGTATGGCATATTCCTGGCAGCTGAATTCATCTTGAAGAAATGCTCCTAGAAACAAGTTAAGCTATAAAGTGTGAAAGATTGAGCTGGTACCCTATCAGCAAATTGATTTTTTGCTCTAAGATCAATACTGGCGAATTGTTTTTTTTTTTACCTTTCAATAACAAACTTCCAAAAGTTATTTTTAGAAAAAAATTGTTCTTTTCTTTTTGAATAATAACAATAAATTACATAAATTCAAAATTTAAGATAGTGCTAAAACAGTATAATGTACATATGACCCAAAACATCTCATGAAAACAAGAAGAAGTAGTAATTAATGTGAGCTACCTTATATTCATCCATCCACACATGGGCCAGGCGTAGTGAATTTTTTAAGGTTGTATCTTGACCTTTGGGAGATCCATATGGACGACGTTTACGAAAGATGTGTCCTACTCTGGAGCAGGGTACTATCTCTAGTCTACCCCCACACTGCCATATCTGTGGACGACACAATTAATAGTTAAAAAATTACGGCCTGGACAACATATTCCTGAAAACATTGCACTTATTTGAAATTTGACCTCAAGGTCAAGGTCACAGTGACAACGACAGTGCGCTGTAAAATGTCTGTGAGTGATACAGAAACTGAAAGTTTTATCAGGATATCTTTAATTTGGCACTTATTTGACTTTATTATTAGAGTAACTGCTAAATGCTAAATTATAAAATGCACATATAATTCAGGTCTCATTGTAATGGGAACCATTACAGATTTATAAGTCCTCAAAACTGACCCAATAGTTGCAAATGATGCTTTAATAGAGTTTACAATGCCATCATATACTTGCATACTAAGTAAGAACAATTTAACACAGTAAGGAACCGTTGGCATCACCTGGGCATACACCTTTAAATGTTTGAAACAATCATACTTTTTTTTACCTTTGACCTTCAGGTAAAGGCCACAGTGACCTATTGACACCGCACTGCACATCATTTGTTGGTGATGCAGTTATACTGCAAGTTTCATCAAGATATCTTTAAAAGTATTGGCTCAGACAAGATCATTTTAGAAGAACCAGAAGGGTTTTCATATCACTTTAGCAATCAATGTACCTGTGTATACAAGGCCATTTTTTCGACCCACACCAATTTTTTGTAACTTTGTTGAAATAATTTCTTAGCACTTTTAATTTTCAGGATATCGAAGGCCAAAACATTGAAAATACTATTTTTTAACTATCTACTTTAATTACCTTTATATCAAATACAGACAAGCGCTTTGAGGAATCATTTAGTATTGAGAAACGAGATACACTTTAGCTGTAGTAGTCCGAATATTCTGATATTCTAAAAGACTTCAAAAAAACCAAAAAATCATTATGATATCTTAAAGTCAATAGGCAATCTGGTATAAGTAAAAAACTTGTACACACTAAATACATTAGTATAAGTGAATATAGGTGTTATAGTACCTAGCTTTTCTTTATCAGGGTATTTCATATCTGTCTTCAAATCAATTGATTACTTCTGTTCAAATCACAGAAAACCTATGTCCACACTTACATAAAATTACCCTGTACATACAAGGGAAAATGTAATCCAACATCCACTAGCTAGTGGATGATCAGTAAAGGTCTGCTAGCCCATTTGATGGATTCCTAAATGTAAATCACTAGTCTGGCCATAACAGTGAAAGAAATTCAAAGAAGTTATGACCAGACAATACAAAATGGGGAGTCTCGGCAAATTTAATCAGGTTTACATGTTCTGCCATCATCAAAACAATGCTATATAGGAAGAATAAGAGACATTCAGGGCTACAGACAACGACACTCACACCTAGTATAGAACAGTTGTTCTTACATACCCTGAATGATATTTCCAGGTTTTCACCTCCCCACACGTCCATGCCAGCATCGTACTGGCCCATATCATTGAAGTACTGCCTGTCTATAGCAAACAGACCACCAGCCATAGTGGGAGACCTGTCACACGATCAAAGGTAAAACACAGTTCATGTATGATAGAAGAATTAAAACTATTTATCCTTTTAAACCTGTCAATATTGATACAAGGATGTCAAAATACGAATCCAACAATACTGCATGTGTATACTTTTCTTGAAATACATTTTTCACTATAAAAGTTATTACACCCGGGATATAATTTGACTAACCGAAAACTACTTAAATGTCACTTACATTTTATCAAAACTCTTTGCAATAGAAAGAGATTTTATTTGAAAAGGAAGATTTTTTATTATTCAAACACACGAAATAACTAAACTTGTTTTTGTGAACAAAAACATATGTCTCTCCTTATTAGCCAAGAGACAAACTTTCGTATAAAAAATAACAAAGGGCCATATCTCTTTATACAGTGGGGCATGAGACCTAATTCAAGTACACTGTACACCTTCTGTGGGTGATGCATGCATACCTCAAGTATCATCTAGTTATCTTTAAACTGTTTAAAAGTTATGGCCCAGACAAGTTGCGATTAGAAGAACCAGAACCAGTACTAATACAATATGTCTCCCTTCATTTGAAGGGGAGACATATGTACATAATTAATATAGTTCAATGGAATGCATATTTCATTACATAAAATTAAAATATTTATTCCTGTGCACTAAATATGTATAAAAGTTTCCCAAAGATGAAAGCAGTTAATGTTTTATTGACTCACTCAATAGGTTTGGATAGGTAATCCTTGACTTGTTTAATTCTGTCGGGGAGCTGGTCCCAGCGGTAGTGTAGTCCCCAGTTAAAACCTCCCCTAACTAGCGGGGACGAGACGTACTCCATGGTGTCTGGATTGATGATGTCCATAACAGGGACTGCCACAGTAGACTTGCTCGCCTTGATCCTTGACAACAGCGGTTCTATCCAGTGTAAGTTTACCTCACAGTGACTGTCCAGGAATATCAGCACCTTCAAATTGTAAGGGTTACTCATGATTGCTTATTCTGTAAAATGTGGTGACAGTCCAAGGGGATTTCTTGGTTCAGTGGTTTCTGAAACACTTGGCCTGTTTATAGATGTTTCATTTTGTTTTTCATCATTGTTTATAGTTGTGTGTTAAATTTCAATAAAGCTTCATTTCGAACACTTCAAAGCTGTAAGAGTAATGATATGTCATTTATACGATATTCTGCAGAAATATATCATGCAGAGAAATCAGCATCGCTCTATATCGATTCTATAATACCCTAACAGGTATAGGAACTGACAACACTGAATCAGAAGTAAAACTGGTGATCATTACCAACCACAAGCATCCTGTATTAAATTGAAGCGGAACTGGACTGGGTTGATTGTCGGCGACCAGGTAGCTCAATCGGTTAGCGCATCCGCCTAGAGTTTGGAGGGTTCTGCATTCGAACCCCGGTCTGGCCGTGCACTTGGTGCCTGTGACCGACCCTTGTTTCAAGTACTATGTGAATGCTTGACAAGGGAATACCCAAACTTGGGTTGTAAACAGTTGTGTCTTGGGGGGACAAACATTTAGAACAAGGAGGGAGTAATGTACTGGGAGTTGACTGGTTTCGATCGTCTGCAACTAAGGTAGCTCAATCTGGCCTGTCAGGCAGTGCATTTTTCTGCTCCTAATACAAAATAAAGTCACAAGAAGTGCCCATTTGTACCTCATCTATATAAAATTGTACTTGATCGTGTTTTATTGATAACATGACTTTTAGATAAACTGCCTTATTTCTCTAACTGTACCACTCACATATACACTCATATAATGTAATTGCTATGTGCCTTTACCTGTCCAGAAGCCTGGCTGGCCCCAAACATACGTGCCCTGATGAGCCCTGCCCTTTCTGGAGTCTTGACATATCTGACTTTGGGTAGGTTCTTGTCAACATAAGTACGGATAGGATCTCGCCATTGAGCTGTTACACAAAGACATAATAAAGTATGAAATCTTAATGAAATTTTATTGAAATTGAAAACATAGCAAATGATTTTTATACAATACATATAGTACACATTAAGGATGTTAAATCAATGGCGCTACCTGTTATTTGTGTTTAATATGAGTTATCTCCTGATTTTTTATTTTTATTTCAATAGGGACAGTAAATTGGCACATCTGTAAATAGAAACATATAAATGCTTCAAACATTCTTTGGTAAACTTTGAATTCCTATTCAATTGATAAAAAAGTCCACATTATCGCCCTGGCTTAAATTTTCACAATTTGACTCAAACTTAGAAATTAAAATTTACACAGATTATATTTTAATTCCGCTATCTAGACATTTTGTCAAAAAGTCAAATAAATAGGCTCTATGACAGCATATTGAGCAACAACATGGAAGTATTGCGGCTCATTTTTACACTTGTCACATTGTTCTGCGAATCACAATTTTCGCGATCACGTTATTGAACTGCGAAATCTCAAAAATATCGATCCCCTGGAAATATTCTGCTTTACGGTAAATGCTGATTTAGTGAGGCAGTATCTGCTACTACCTTTAAGAGTAACATGAAGATCTCCTATGTAACAGTAAAAGAGTTATGTAAAAGATGACTACTCTTTGGATTTCGAGCTCAGCTTGAACAGATTGGTCATACTCATTTCACTTGTGTCATCCACGATAATGATCTCCTTGATGTAACGTTGGGGTGATCGGTCAAGAACACTGACCACTGTCCGAAACAGGGTTGACCAGGCCTCATTGAAGTAACATATAATGACAGAAGCTTCAGGTAGGTCAACTGGGTAGGTCTCATTGACACACCTGTACGTAAATATAATAAGTCGCATTGCACAACAGGTAAACATTGTCACGCCTGTAAATATATCACATCCAAAACCACAGGACAATATTGTCACACCCGTAAATATATCACATCCAAAACAACAGGACAATATTGTCACACCTGTAAATATATCACATCCAAAACAACAGGACAACACTGTCACACCTGTAAATATATCACATCCTAAACAACAAGACAACACTGTCACACCTGTAAATATATCACATGCATAACAAGACAACACTCACAACTGTAAAATTAATATATTTCATCCTAAACAACAGAAAACTATTGGCACATTTCTTATTTTATCTGGTAATGGAAGATGGATTCAAAACTAACTTTTCCATCCATCGAATCCCTGTCAATCTATTTACAATCAAAATAATATGTAGTGTGAGTACTGTATACATATCTATTCACAATCAAAATAATATGTAGTTTGAGTACTGTATACAAATCTAGTCACAATCAAAATAATATGTAGTCCGAGTACTGTATACAAATCTATTTACAATCAAATAATATGTAGTGTGAGTATTGTATACAAATCTATTTACAAGCAAAATAATATGTAGTGTGAGCACTGTATACAAATCTATTTACAAGCAAAATAATATGTAGTGTGAGCACTGTATACAAATCTATTTACGGTCAAGGTCATTTATTTGAACAAAATTTGTAGCCCTTCATCCCAGCATGTTACAGGCCCAATATAAGTACCCTTGGCCTTTTGGTTATTGAGAAGAAGTTGTTTAGAGTAAAAAAGTTGACGCCGGACAGACGGATGAGGGACGGATGGACGGACGACGCACCATAACATAAGCTCGCTTGCCCTTCGGGCAGGTGAGCTAATAATATGTAGAGTAAGTACTGTATACAAATCTATTCACAATCAAAATAATATGTAGTCCGAGTACTGTATACAAATCTATTCACAACCAAAATAATATGTAGTGAGAGTACTGTATACAAATCTATTCACAATCAAAATAATATGTAGTTTGAGTACTGTATACAAATCTATTCACAATCAAAATATTATGTAGTGCGAGTACTGTATACAAATCTGTTTACAATCAGATTAATATGTAGTGCGTGCAGCGTATACAAATCTATTTACGATCAAAATAATATGTAGTGCGAGTACTGTATACCAAACTTGGTAGCCCTTCATCCCAGCATGCTGCAGGCCTAATATCAGTACTCTGGGCCTTTTGGTTATTGAGAAGGAGTTGTTTGAAGATTTTAAGACATCGGCCCCCAGTGACCTTGAAAGTTGTTCAAGGTCATTTATTTGAACAAAATTTGTAGCCATTCATCCCAGCATGCTACAGGCCCAATATAAGTACCCTGGGCCTTTTGGTTATTGAGAAGGAGTTGTTTGAAGATTTTAAGACAACTGACTGCAGTGACCTTGAAAGTGGGTCAAGGACATTTATTTGAACAAAATTTGTAGCCATTCATCCCAGCATGCTACAGGCCTAATATCAGAACTCTGGGCCTTTTGGATATTGAGAAGAAGTTGTTTGAAGATTTTAAGACAACTGACTGCAGTGACCTTGAAAGTGGGTCAAGGACATTTATTTGAACAAAATTTGTAGCCATTCATCCCAGCATGCTACAGGTTCAATATCAGTACCATGGGCCTTTTGGTTATTGAGGAGAAGTCGTTTGAAGATTTTAAGACATCGGCCCCCAGTGACCTTGAAAGTTGGTCAAGATCGTTCATTTTAACAAACTTGGTAGCCCTTCATACCAACATGCTACAGGACCAATATCAGTACCCTGGGCGTTTTGGTTATTGAGAAGAAGGCGTTTGAAGATTTTAAGACATCTGACCCCAGTGAGCTTGAAAGTGGGTCAAGGTCATTCATTTGAACAAACTTGGTAGCCCCTCATCCCAGCATGCTACAGGCCTAATATCAGAACTCTGGGCCTTTTGGATATTGAGAAGAAGTTGTTTGAAGATTTTAAGACAACTGACTGCAGTGACCTTGAAAGTGGGTCAAGGACATTTATTTGAACAAAATTTGTAGCCATTCATCCCAGCATGCTACAGGCCTAATATCAGAACTCTGGGCCTTTTGGATATTGAGAAGAAGTTGTTTGAAGATGTTAAGACATCTGACCCCAGTGAGCTTGAAAGTGGGTCAAGGTCATTCATTTGAACAAACTTGGTAGCCCCTCATCCCAGCATGCTACAGGCCTAATATCAGAACTCTGGGCCTTTTGGATATTGAGAAGAAGTTGTTTGAAGATGTTAAGACATCTGACCCCAGTGATCTTGAAAGTTGGTCAAGGTCATTTATTTGAACAAACTCGGTAGCCCTTCATCCCAGCATGTTACAGGCCCAATATAAGTACCCTGGGCCTTTTGGTTATTGAAAAGAAGTTGTTTGAAGATTTTAAGACAACTGACTGCAGTGACCTTGAAAGTGGGTCAAGGTCCTTTATTTGAACAAAATTTGTAGCCCATCATCCCAGCATGCTACAGGCCCAATATCAGTACTCTTGGCCTTTTGGTTATTGAGAAGGAGTTGTTTGAAGATTTTAAGACAACTGACTGCAGTGACCTTGAAAGTGGGTCAAGGTCCTTTATTTGAACAAAATTTGTAGCCCATCATCCCAGCATGCTACAGGCCTAATATCAGAACTCTGGGCCTTTTGGATATTGAGAAGAAGTTGTTTGAAGATTTTAAGACAACTGACTGCAGTGACCTTGAAAGTGGGTCAAGGACATTTATTTGAACAAAATTTGTAGCCATTCATCCCAGCATGCTACAGGTTCAATATCAGTACCATGGGCCTTTTGGTTATTGAGGAGACGTCGTTTGAAGATTTTAAGACATCGGACCCCAGTGACCTTGAAAGTGGGTCAAGGTCATTCATTTGAACAAACTTTGTAGCCCTTCATCCAAGCATGCTACAGGCCCAATATCAGTACTCTTGGCCTTTTGGTTATTGAGAAGGAGTTGTTTGAAGATTTTAAGACAACTGACTGCAGTGACCTTGAAAGTGGGTCAAGGTCCTTTATTTGAACAAAATTTGTAGCCCATCATCCCAGCATGCTACAGGCCTAATATCAGTACCCTGGGCCTTTTGGTTATTGAGAAGAAGTTGTTTAAAGTAAAAAAGTTGACGCCGGACAGACGGATGATGGACGGATGGACGGACGACGCACCATAACATAAGCTCACTTGCCCTTCGGGCAGGTGAGCTAATAATATGTAGTGTAAGTACTGTATACAAATCTATTTATGATCAAAATAATATGTAGTGTGAGTACTGTATACAAATCTATTCACAATCAAAATAATATGTAGTGCGAGTACCGTATACAAATCTATTTACGATCAAAATAATATGTAGTGCGAGTCCTGTATACAAATCTATTTACGATCAAAATAATATGTAGTGAGAGTACTGTATACAAATCTATTTACAGTCAAAATAATATGCAGTGCGAGTACTGTATACAAATCTATTTACAGTCAAAATAATATGCAGTGCGAGTACTGTATACAAATCTATTTACGATCAAAATAATATGTAGTGCGAGTACTGTGTACAAATCTATTTACGATCAAAATAATATGTAGTGCGAGTACCGTATACAAATCTATTTACGATCAAAATAATATGTAGTGCGAGTACCGTATACAAATCTATTTACGATCAAGATAATATGTAGTGCGAGTACTGTATCCAAATCTGTTTACAATCAGATTAATATGTAGTGCATGCAGCGTATACAAATCTATTTACGATCAAGATAATATGTAGTGCGAGTACTGTATCCAAATCTATTTACAATCAAAATAGTATGTAGTGTGAGTACTGTATACAAATCTATTTACAATCAAAATAGTTTGTAGAGCGAGTACTGTTTACAAATCTATTTACAATCAAAATAATATGCAGTGCGAGTACTGTATACAAATCTATTTACAATCAAAATAATATGTAGTGCGAGTACTGTATACAAATCTGTTTACAATCAGATTAATATGTAGTGCGTGCAGCGTATACAAATCTATTTACGATCAAAATAATATGTAGTGCGAGTACTGTATACAAATCTATCAAAGTGTCATTTTACCTTTTATTCCTGCTGTCTGGAATAGCCCTGTGGAATCCTAGTCTGTCACTAATCAGCAAGTTGAATGCATGCTGTCTGTGACCTGTTTATTATTAGACAAGTAAAACATTCAATTAATGTGCATTTAAAAAAAAAATTTTTTATACCTTTTTATATTTATATGAAAAGGACATTTTATCACATTTTACAATATAAGATCAAATATAATAGGGAAGTTATTGTGATCTGGTGAAGATATTAAATTCTGTGTTAAAATGACATTTCTTGTTTTTTATTTTGAGCAAATTATTGCAAAGTGGACACATTATTTGTTCAAAACTGGAGGCTAAAATGGTCTCACTTTCTCTTGTTCACCTGTCTCGTTGAGTGATGACATCATCAGCTTGGTACCTTCAGTGCTGTTAGACTTGCACAAGACCGATATTTTAGAAATGATCCAAAAAATATCAATATCGCAATGAATGTAAATATAAGAGTAGAATCCTGTGTTTTGAGGTTTATGGGGTATAAACCTCAATGGGTCTTGAGACAAACTCAATTTGAACTGCAAAGAGAAGTTCATAAAATTTGTCTCAAAACCCATTGAGATTTATCCCCCATAAACCTCAACAAAACAGGATTTTATCCTTCAATATGTTACATGCACAATAATTGCTTTAAACACTGCTTGTGATTTAAAAGTCATACTACTTTTAACATCCAATATGTACATAGTACATGTACACTGTACATCAAATGTATATACCTTCATCCCTTAAACGTTGGTCCTCAGGGGTCCTTATCACTCCGAGGTTGTGAAGTTTTTTAATGTCATAATGGTCCCTCATGAAAGGGTCGCTGTTATCCTTGACAACATATTCTGAGTAGCCATCATTATGATTGTCTTTTTTCTTGATAAATGTACTTGATTGTGTCTCATTTATCGCCCTATAATGCTGACGTCTGTCAGCTATTAAACGGTTTTTACCTGAAACATTGATTTGAATTAAATTGCTTGTGTATACAGTATGATTATATCATACCAGTACATAAAATTTAACATTTTATACATAAATTTAAAATAAATTAACTGACATCATAACATTGTGGTCATGATGTCTGGACAAAGTGAAATTTACATGACAGATGCTGGTGTCACTGAACATCAAGTCTGGACAAAGGTGAATTAGACTGGGAAGATAGATCCTGTGTACCTTACAGGTGTCATCTATACCCAGGGAAAGGTCAAACTTGCCTGACATTTGTCCAATGATACATATATGGCTGGTGGAAAGTTAAGTCAAACGTATCCGACATTTTCTCATAATGTGACAGCTATTGAACAAGAAGGGAATATACTGCCTTAATTAAGCTTCTACCCTTGGATACACTCACTAGTTCAGCAACAACATCGAGGCTTGGTCAGTGGTTGGATATACATAAGCTTTATTTATTTTACAACAATTATTAAACAAGTTATTTTATCTTATATTAATCACTTTTGTTGGTCCAGATGTTAGCGTGTGGAGGGTCTTGATGTGGGAGGAAACCGGAGTACCCGGAGAAAACCCACGTGGTCGGGCAGGTGACCCATACCTTTTCTGAAGGGGGAATCGAACCCGGTCACCTGGTAATTCATACCCGGCAGCTGGTCCTCTTTCCTGAGGGAAGATAAAACTTACTTGACAAATATTCATGTGTGGAGGGAGACGAATTGAACACTGTCCAATTGTACACTTGCATCAGACTGAGGAATACAACACACACAAATGTCAATGTCGCGCAACATCGCAGACTGCTTCTTCTCTTCATCATCCCACATTAACTGTACATGTGTCCCAGAAGACTTGGGTTCAGTTAGGCCATTCATGATGTGAACATTTTTGTCTTGGTTGATGTTTCCATGGCAACAACAGCTCACAATTTCTCTCCTTTACATTTAAAGGTATTCTGTATATCACTGTTCTCCATAAATCTTGTTGCTACAATAATTTAAAAAAGAAAAGATAATGTGGAGATTCATCTGGGTTTACAGTGAGTTTCTTTCAATGCCAGTATATAGTGCTCATCAAAATTAACTACCTAAATTAAACAAGAGGTTCAATGGGCCTGCATCGCTCCCCTGGTATTAATCTCACACTTGTTATTTTAATAGTGGACTAAATAACAGCTACAGGCAGAATATCAGTGTTTGATTCATAAGAACCTATTAAAAGATTTAAACATATGACGCCTGTGACCTCGAATGTCGAACAAGGACATTAGGTTGAAAGTTGGAAAAGGTCATTCATTTGTACAAACTTGGTAGTCCTTCATCCCAGCATGCTACAGGCCCAATATCAGTACCCTTGGCCTTTTGGTTATTGAGAAGAAGTTGCTTGAAGATTTTAACACATTTGATCCCTGTGACCTTAAAAGTTGGTCAAGGTCATTCATTCGAACAAACTTGGTAGCCCTTCATCCCAGCATGCTACAGGCCCAATATCAGTACCGTCGGCCTTTTGGTTATTGAGAAGAAGTTGTTTGAAGAGTTTACGCCATTTGACCCTGTGACCTTGGAAGTGGGTCAAGGTCATTCATTTGAACAAACTTGGTAGCCATTTATACCAGCATGCTACAGGCCAAATATCAGTACCCTGGGCCTCTTGGTTATTGAGAAGAAGTTGTATGAAGATTTTAAGATATTTGACCCCCGTGACCTTGAAAGTGGGTCAAGATCATTCATTTGAACAAACTTGGTATCCCTTCATCCCAACATGCTACTGGCCCAATATCATCAGCCTGGGCCTCTTGGTTATTGAGAAGAAGTTGTTTAAAGTAAAAAGTTGAAGCCGGACGGACGGACCCCGGATGACAGACGGATGCCGCACCATGCCATAAGCTCACTTGGCCCAAAGGAGAAAAAGAAGAAAACAATTATAAATATTTTCAGTTTTTTCAACTATATATACATGTGCAATAGTTGGATTTTATGTTCTCCTGCAATTTTTAGAACACCTGTTGATGTGACAACATTTTAAGGATGTATCACATAATTATATTCCTTTTAAATCATGTTGCAATATAACATGTCCGTCTAGAGTTTGGTGGGTCCCAGGTTCAAATCCCGGTCTAGCTGTACATCTTTCTCCTGTTACTGTACATGTATATTTAGCCTCCTATAAAAACCAGAAAACACATTGTTTTCCTTTGAGAATGCCAACAATTTGCTGGCAAGTCTTTCAGAGTTTCCATCAAACTCAATCTAGATATTCTCAACCAGGAACTCAATCATTCTCAGTATTTCATCTGCAGCATAAATTTCATCTTGTGGCCATAACATTTTTCACAAAATATGCTCAAAAATTAACCTTTCAACAACATGATATTTATATGATGCATGGTTACAGTAGCCTTTCTTGGAAAAGAAAGCACTCATAACATAGACATCTGCATTTTGTATGTAAATATGATTATATAATAAATATGAAATATTCTTCCCTCTATACCCTACTATTGCTATATATATAGGGTGTCAGACGATTCGCCCTAAAACCGTAACACCCGGGGCCCAGCTATTATACCAGGTACCTCAAATTTGATTCATAGCCTGAGTTGGCTGCAAAAAAACCTGCAACGGCCCAATTATTTCGCATAAAAACACCTGCAACACCCCAAAAATTTCTTCCATAAAAGTCACTTATATGACAATATGTTAGATGTTAAAAAAAAAAAGATCTCTGAAAAAAATAAGATCTGTTGCAATTTGTTCCATGTTGAAACAAAAAAAAAGATCTGCGAGTTAGTTTCATTCATTCTGCATCTCAAACGGTAAAATCAACTTTGTCAATTTTGTTAGACGTGGTATAATTTGAAATAGCTGACATTCATGCTGATATCTCAAAATGTTGAATAAGAACAGTAATTTTGCTTCAACTCACAGATGTCAAGTCTGGGCCAAAATGCTTATCATGTTATATGTAGGGCAGACACTCAATTGGTACCTCATTCGGCATATATTTTACTTTTCATTAACAATATTGCAAACTCAGATAACTCATATACTAAGGTTTGTACGTGTAGCAGATCAAGACCAGCGGTTCAGGGGCAATGAAGATTTTTTGGGGATCTTATATATCACTGGTGACTACAAAATTCTGAATTTCCTCATATATAGGCCTAGATAAGGGTGAAAGGGATTTTGAGACAAAAATAAATTTTGTGGCGATATGGTTGTCATACTTGTTCTTGGGGCGAAATAACCTGAAAATTGGGGCGACGTGAAATAAAGTTGGGGCGAAATGGTCTGGGCGAAACGTCTGTAATTCCTATTAATCAGTTAATTGTAGGATAGGGTAGACCATTTCACAATTTGTACATATATTTACATACCAAATGCATGCATGCCTGTGCTCATAATAATATAAGAGAACAAATGCGTTATTATGGTTTGGTATGAGGTCCATGCATACCACGTAGTGTTTAGAATGCAGCACTCAAACAGATGTTACTGACAGCAGAAACATTTTTGTGACAGGATGCTGAATTTTACGCCAGCGAAAACAAGAATATGAAAAAGCACCATATGAATATGACGGTGTATTGACAACAAAAAGAAGCTTCGCTTACCAAAAGATGATATCTAAACCATTTTACAATATGGTTAATTAACCTGCGACCGATAGTCTACTTCTTTTCAACGTGCTCTGTGTGTTTCTAACCTGAATAATTCGTTCGTTATTATATCAGAAAAGAAATAAGAAAGGTCGATAAATGAGTCGAGGCCTCGTGAATGATTTATGTTAAGAAACGTAATTTCCGGTAATTATAGCTGCTGTGGCTGGATTTGCCAGCTATCTTCATTTTTTTCGCCGGGTTGGAAGATATCAAACGAACTGTAGGACTTCAATTTCCAAGTTGAAACAAAGGCAAGGAGCATTAAATGTAAGCTTATATATACAGCAAATTATCAAAGCACATATATAGATCATGAGAACGTTACCTTACTATATAAACAGTCAAACAATCTGATCTTCGATTCGACCTCATTTGACCAATAATTAATCATCGATGTTTTTATCAGCGTTAAATATTTAAAACTTACCTTCTAATTAACATTGAATTTATCATTAAAGTATCTATGCATAGTTATATATGTTTCGATATACATTTTGTATGCATCGAAAAAGGGGCGATGTCAGATCTAGAGGACCTGTTTCTATGTGTCCTGACATATTGTACATAATGTATTGCGCATCGCTGTGTGCATACCGCAAGTTTATTGGCATTGTCATTTTTTTGGGTAGTGAAACTTAAGTCTGCAACGGAAAACAATTGATTTCTGAATTATTTTACTCAACTACATGCAGGAAAGTATATATATATAGTTACTGTTTCTACTGTGATAGAACCGTTCATTATAGGACCAATAAAAAACTATTTTTTTTTATATAATTTATATATGCAACAAATCATCTTTATCTGCGTAACAAATTTGTGTTACTGTCATGTGGTATTCCAAAGGCAACTCCAAAAAGTATGGTGTTCTTAAATGTTATCCTATGCATTTCTTAGTAAATGTAATTAAGTGTATCCTAATGCAAAAAAATGTGTTGTCATTCAAAATGTGGTTGATGCTGAAAAAGGTCCTCCAATGATATACAAATTGGATTTTTCGCCATTTTTCCATGGTAGATTCCCAACACTACCAAATACTGTATGTTTCTAACACTTTTTAAATACAATAAAATATACACACATGCATACATGGAGGCATGTCCTTAAATTATATTACCTTAGCTGTTATTAGGATGTTAAACCATATAAAAACAGAGCCAAGTGTGTCTTTCAGCCAGTTATGGTTTTCATGAAAACAGGTCTAAGACTTATATATATACATGTAGATGTGTAACAGGAGAGGAAAAATGCACGGCGAACCCGGGACCCTCCGAACTCTAGACGGATTCTCTACCAATTGAGATCTGGTCGCCGACGATCGACCCAGTCCAGTTCCGCTACACATGTATATCTGTGTCAAAAAATACACACTCACTCTACAGTACACACAGTCCTATATATGTACAATGTACTATACACCTACAGGGGAAATTCTGGAATTTGAGACCAATGGGCCATTTTCAGCAATTATAGTCAATATAAAAATTAAGGGGGACATTCTATGTAAATTCGAGATATAATTGGAACATGGAGGGGGTCAATTTCAGTTTAGAGGGGTCAGTGGCCCCATGGCTCCCTCCAGGATTACCCCTGCACTAAACTTCTGACAGTTATTTATGCCAGCTGCTCCTTCCCCCCAAAAAAACTCATGTAATATTAGTCTTGTTCCATCTCATTCCGTCCTGTCATGATTCATTAATTGTCACAATTTTATGGACACATTTCCATCAAAGTTTATTCAGTCTATAAGAATACCTTGGATAAATTTGTATTTGAGAGTCCGAAGGTCAAAGCCAAGGTCGACGTAACTTGCTTGTTATAGGTCAACTATTGCTGTTTTGTGCATAGGGATTAATGCAGGAAAGTAGGTACCTTCTTTTGAAATAGGGGAAAATATGGTTAAGTTTTGTAGGTCAGCATGATGACCTGTCAGTGGGCTGCAGGCCAGAGCCAGGGAGAGAGTATGGGAGCTATAGGGGGGCATGGATGACATTATGCCATACCGCAGCGTCCGTCGTCCGTCCGTCTGTCGTCCGCTTGTCAACTTTTCCTTTAAAACGCTACTATAGTCCTGAACAGCCAAGTAGATTTTGACTAAATTTGGTCTGGAGTATCCTTAGGCCAATTTGGTATAAACGGTGGGTGTGGCCTCCTGAGGGCAGAGGGGCGAGGCTCAATAGGGGAAATAGAGGTAAAACCTTGAAAATCCTTCTCCTACCGTAGGAATTGAGGGATTTTATCCAAATTTATTCTGGAGCATCTTTGGGCCTAAGGGACTCAATTTTGTATAGATGGTGGGTGTGGCCCCCCTGGGGGCTGAGCGGCAGGGCCCAAAAGGGGAAATATAGCAAATTCTTTAAAATCCTTCTTCTTCTGTAGGAATATGTTCCATATTTAGTCTGAAGCATTCTTGGGTGAAGGGGAACCAATTTTGTATAAACCGTGGGTCTGGCCCATAAGGGGCCTGAGGGGTGGGGCCCAATAGGGGAAACATAGCAAATTATTCTTTAAAATCCTTCTTCTTCTGTAGAAATGAAAGGATTTGTTCCATATTTGGTTTGGAGCATCCTTGGGTGAAGGGGAACCAATTTTGTATAAACAGTGGGTCTGGCCCCCCTGGGGGCTGAGGGGCGGGGCCCAATAGGGGAAATAGAACATTTTTTTAGGTCACCTGAGCTTTGGGGAAACAACACTTTTGGGTATATTTTGACAATTTTCTGTTGGAAATTATTTTTACTTGGTGAGAATTATCCTTGGAGGAGGAAGATGGTTTTAAATTGTAAAATTGGGATTCCTACCCCAACCCTAGGGGCCAGGGCGGGGCCCAAAAGGGAAAATTAGCCAATATTTCAAAAATCTTCTTCTCCAGACTCAGAGGTATTACAGTCATTTTCTCTGCATGGATGGAAAGATCATCAGGGGCTTTATTTAAATTGTAAATTTCAGGACCCCCGAGCTATCCGTTCTCCCTTGGGGAGGGGGTAAAGTTTACTATAGTTTATATAGGGAAACAACACTTTTGGGTATATTTTGACAATTTTCTGTTGGAAATTATTTTTACTTGGTCAAAATCATCTTTGGTGGATGACGGTATCACATTGTAAACTTGGAATTCCTGCCCTATCCCCAGGGGTTAGAGCGGGGCCCCAAAGGGAACATTTACAAATATTTTAAAATTCTTATCCTTTGATGACATGACAAGTATTGTATTTCACTTAGTTTACATGATAATTTCAACATCACATCTTAACAATAAAATAAAGCTACCAGTACCTATGATATAACTCAGGTGACCGTTAAGGCCCTTGGGCCTCTTGTTTAATATCCTTCTTCTTCTATAGGAATGAAAGGATTTGTTCCATATTTGGTCTGAAGCATCCTTGGGTAAAGGGAAACCAATTTTGTTTAAACGGTGGGTGTGGCCCCCCCTGGGACCTGAGGGGCGGGGCCCAATAGGGGAAATAGAAGTAAAACCTTTATAATCCCTCTTCTACCATATGGATTAAGGGATTTTATCCTAATTTAGTCTGGAGCATCCTTGGGCCAAGGGGACTAAATTTTGTATAAGCAGTGGGTGTGGTCTCCCAGAGGGCAGAAGAGCGGGGCCCAATAGGAGAAATAGAGATAAAACCTTTAAAATCCTTCTTCGACCATCGGGATTAAGGGATTTTATCCATATTTAGTCTGGAGCATCCTTGGACCAAAGGGACTCAATTTTGTATAATTGGTGGGTATGACCTCCCTAGGGGCATAGGGTGGGGCTCTGTTTGAAGTTTGTTCTTGCTTTATCTCAAGTACTGGATGGATCTTTCTGAAATTTCATATGTACTTACAGCACCTACCATGGAGTGCTATATCTTTACTTCATACCAATTATTTTAAACATATTTAGGTGAACGATACAGGCCCACTGGGCCTCTTGTTTTAATATGTAATTCTAGCCCTTCATTAATTTTATAGATGCTTCAAATCGACCACTAAATAAACATTAGAATAAAGCCTTTATGTGACTGTTATGGTATTAATTGTGTACTGTAAAGAGGGCCAGCCATTGACAATAACAACATGAACACAGGGAAAATGAAATAAATTACTCTGTCGTCGAATTGACAGAACATCAAAACAAATGTAAGAGGACAAAGACAAAAAGGTAATGGCCAGACTGGGGTTCGAACCCTCAGAACTCTAAACGGATGATCTACCAATTAAGCTGCCTGGTATCCGACGAATGACTTATATAAAATGTAGTCTACTTCCCCTACATTCCTCCATCCTTTTTCTACATCTTCGCCGCTGAAGACACATCTATATTTGTGAACCGCTTTGAGACCACCTCAAACTAGGTTGTGATAAAGCTGTATTTTAGAACCTAGAATTATTATACTATTATTATAACTGTTATATATTTACAACCTAATTTCAGGTATTCCCTTGCTAAGCATACTCTCATTGCTTGAAACAAGGGTTGGCAAGCTTGCCAATTTTGTAACAGGAGAAAGAGAAAATGTAACGGCCAGAATGGCGTTAGAACCCAGAACCCTTCAAACTCTAAACAGACGCTCTCCCAATTGAGCTTCCTGGTCTACGACGATCAACTCAGTCCAGTTCCTCCAGATAAAATAACACCAAGACAGACATATATTTATGTAGTAGTATTCTGGTTACCAGATCTAGAGGGGGCACCATGTTGCCACTTGTTAATTAACACACCTGAACAACATTTTTCGTTTCAATCACAGATCTGTTGGAGAAATGCCATGTGATATGTTTGTGGCGTTGCCACCAGCAACCAGTGATGGATGTATCATTTTTGGAAAGAATGCAGATAGGCCGACTGGAGAAGTTCAAGAGGTCATTCAAGTGCCAAAACAAGACCATGACGTAGGATCAAAGATTATGGTAAGGCAAGATGAAAGTGCACTCATGATCAGTCTGTTGAATTGATATTTTTACAGAATGTAATACTTGATTTGATGCAAAAGTTACACTTTGCAATTGAATTGGATTATATTATGGTTGAAATAGGACATCATTGTCACGACATGACTAACTAAACTTCAAATTAACTAACAGAAATTGCATGGTTTATCCCAGGTATAGTAAGCAACAAGCCAAACATCATTGCTTTAGGTCACTTGGTTCTTGAGGAGAAAGGGTTTTGAGGCTTTAACTTATATCTGAACTCTGTAAGCTTGAATATTGTCAAATACTATATTTGATTTTGCAATATACTAGCATTAGTAATGTGTGATATCTTAGAATTCATTGGTTTATTCACTAGAATCATATAGGTCACCTGTGCATGAATAGATCCTGGTAGGTGAATTTTTCAGGCTCAGGGTCCATATTCATGAAACTGTTCTCATGCTCAAGCATTGATTTTGTACTCAAGCCGAATTTCTTTTTTAATTAAGAAGAAAATCTTGTTTTGTCAATGATTGGGGAAATCATTGAAGAAACTTAAAGCAGAAAACTGTTTTCAATGTTTATGTTTGACTTTTTGATTGTTTGACATGATTTAAGTAAGTTACAAGAAAGTTGGTTTGAGCACAGAATCCATGCTCGAGCACGAGAACAGTTTCATGAATACGGGCCTGGGCCAGGCCATGTGGCAATTGTTACGTACATCACAGGGGCTATAGACTTGGAAGCTGCATGGTTAACCTGCAGCAGTTTATTGTGGAAAGCAATAATTTAGTTGGGTAATGATCAATCACTTCACAACTGGACTGCATGTTTGTTTGGTTTATACTGTCCAAGCAGATTTCATACAACTTTCCCATTGCATTCATATCTTCTGGTTTTTTTCAATTTGATAACAACTTTTATCACATAATGTACTGTGTTATCCAGTGAATATACCCATGTCAATTTCTTTTGCCTATTAACCCTTGCAATATGACCTATCAGCCCTGTGATTGGTTGTAAATGTAAGTTTTAATCGTTTCAATTTTGACATCATGCCAGGACAAGAACGTGACATCAAAGACTTGTACACTGTAGTCAAAGTGACGGCTTTTTAAATTGAAAGGTTGCATGTAAATTGTCGTTTAACACGAATAAATGCAACAAATCTTGATTATATGATAAAAAGGATCTTAAGTCACAAATTTTTCATAAATCTCATATGAAATGGAACCTCATGTAAGATCCTGTTTATATTCACTGCAGTAAAGACATAAACATTTTTATCAAATTGATGAATTTCAATATTTTTACAGGTGAAAATGTAAGAAATAATTGTACCTTTCTTTTGCAGTGTACTTACATAGAAATCGATCAAGTACCGCATACACACGCAGTTATCCTAACAAAGCCAGCCTGGATGTGGGGGGCAGAGATGGGAGCTAATGAGCATGGTGTATGTATAGGAAACGTGGCTGTGTGGACTAAACTAAATGGTCCTGATGACCTCAAGGAGAGACTACCTGGCATGGACCTTGTCAGGTATAGCTATAAAACCAAAGATGTAAAGGAATCGATGGAAAAGGTCAAAGAGAGAACAAAAAAACTTTCTTTGAAATCTAATGGTTCAGTTCTTGAAATATGATTATCTTTTCTATACCTTGGAATATATATCGCAAAATTGAATGCTCTGTACGCACCACTTTGCTGCTTGGTTTTGGTGTTATTGGGTTAGGCATCTTATTAACAGCAAAGGTCATTTAAGGACATGCCTCCATGTGTGTTATATATGCCTATGTGCTGGAGGTGTAATGTTGGTGTATTTGCCTCCACCATGCATGTGAATGATCAATATGAATTGACTAAGGGTAGTCTTGAATCTGTTACAAATTCCTACATACCTTTGATTTCTTCGATACAAGATGAAGGAATTGCACATCAACATGTGGGTAAAATTTATAATCACCTTTTATTTTTCCGTTGCTACTCTGTACAGGAATCAGCCTAATGGTTGATCAGTATTTTATGCCTTCACTTTTGTCATAAAATATTCCAAGGGTGCAGATCTAGAGAAGATATGTTTATAAAACAGAATCCATGGATTTCAAAGATGAGTAATAATTGGTGGCATGGACTAATGGTAATTGAAGAAATGGAAAATCTTGGTAATACTGTGTAGTAGTGCTGAACATTGTGTAACGTGTTGAATCAAAAAGAGTGGCGCAGCATTTCAACAATTTATGTTAAAATGACTGTCAACTAGAAAGGTTAAAAGTTTTTGTCATTCACTTGGAAATAACAGTTTAAATGTCATATCTTGACTTTGTTTTTACCATTAGACCATGGTCATTTGTAATTATGATCATTTCATGGGTGTATATAGTCTGCTAGCCATTGTAAGCTGCAACATGTAAGACTCTTTTTGGGATATCAGGATGTATGGAGTAGTGATTGGAAGGCTGTCTTTTACAGACAAGGTGTTTTTAATCATGAGTTATATAATTAGAGGTCATTTCAATCATTGTCTTCCTTTGGTACTTTTTTAGCTCACCCAAAGGGCCAAGTGAGCTTATGCCGTGGTGCGGCGTCCGCCGTCCGTCTGGCATCTGGCGTCAATATTTTACTTTAAACAACTTCTCCTTAATAACACAAAGGCCTAGGGTGATGATATTTGGCCAGAAGCAAAATGGGATTAAGGGCTAACAAGTTTGTTAAAATAAATGACCTTTACCTATATTCAAGGTCACAGGGGTCAAATATGTTCAAAACTTAAAACAACTTCTTTTGAATAACCAAAATGCACAGGGTGATGATATTTGACAAGTTGCATGCTAAGATGAAGGGCTACCAAATTTGTTCAAATAAATGACCTTCACTCATATTCAAGGTCACAGGGGTCAATTGTCTTAAAAAACCTTTAGACAACTTCTTTTGAATAACCAAAAGGACAAGTATGATGATACTTGGTCAGTAGCATGCTTGGATGAAGGGCTACCAAGTTTGTTCAAATGAATGACCTTCGCCCATATTCAAGGTCACAGGGGTCAAATATGTTAAAAACTTTAAGCAACTTCTTCTGCATAACCAAAATGCCCAGGATGTTGATATTTGGTCATTAGCATGCTGATATAAAGAAATACAAAGTTTGTTAAAATGAATGACCTTGACCTATATTTAAGGTCACAGGGGTAAAATATGTTTGAAACTTTTAAAGGACTTCTTCTGAGTAACCAAAAGGCGCAGGATGTTGATATTTGGTCAGTAGCATACTAGGATAGAGGGCTATCAAGCTTTTTTTATTTGAATGACCTTGCCCACATTTGGTCAAATATGTATAAACATTTAAATGACCTAATTTCAATAAACAAAAGGATAGGGTGGTGATATTTTGCAAGTTGCATGCTCAGATGATATATAAAATTTGTTACAATGTAAGACCTTGTTTGACTTTCAAGGTCACAGGGTTTAAAAAGTTTTAAACCTTATAACCAGTTCTTTTGAATAACTTATAGTCATAAATACTGATATTTTGCCTGTAGCTTTATTTTATATCACTTTTAAGGTTACAAGTGTGAGATTAATACCAGGTGAGCAATACAGGCCCATTGGGTCTCTTGTTTAAGCTTTTCCGTACTGATGTTGTTTTCGTTACATATCAGATTAAATAACACAAAGTATGGTCTAATGTGGATTAAATATTAGATTCACAACAATGCATCATTACTACACCATCGTAAATTAAACTGTATATTTAAACGTATTAAACGAGTCACAATGTTTCAAGACCGACTTATGTCTATGTCAAGCTATGACTTTACATTTTAGGTTGGGTCTGGAGCGGTCAAAGAGTGCCAGGGAGGCTGTGGACGTAGTCACTGGACTACTGGGGCAGTATGGACAGGGCGGACCGTGTGCCGAGGAACCAGGACTAACAAAGTGGGCCTACCACAACAGTTTTCTGTTAGTGGACTCGTCGGAGGCATGGCTTCTGGAAACTGTCGCTTCCCACTGGGCTGCAGAAAAACTGACAGGTTCTTACAGACTATTTTTTGTTTATCTTGTTGAAACTACATGAAACACAGGTTCACAAATCAATAAAAACACTGGTTATGTAAGATAATTGATCTCATGATTATTTTCAATGAATGTTATGGACAGATGATAAACCTGTTACCTATATATAGCTACTTTAAAACTTCTTTATAAAAAAATGGATTAAAAAAATAATACATGTACCATAATAAACGTTTGATTTTATAATTGATCATTTATATTGATGTATTTATAAAGTTATACAGTCAAACCTGTGCATTTTACAACCTCCATTAAGGGATCACCTGTGTTAAGAGACCAGTTTCAATGTTAGCAATTATGGTGATTTCATTGTAAAGAACACTTGAATTAAAAGACCACCTGATCAAAGAGACCACTTTTTGGGGTCTCTTATTTATTGGTGGTTGGGTGGCAAAGTAGTTCAAGAACTCTTTCAGTTATATTGGTTGTTTGGTCACTTGCTAGGCAACTTGGGTTTCCTTTGGGTACTCTGGTTTCCTCCCAAATTAAGACTTTCTGTGCGCTTTTATCTGGAACAACACGAGTAATTAATATAAGTTTGATTCACTTTATTTGTTATTGATATTGTAAATTAAATAAAGTTTATTTTTCCCAAATAAATTAGGTCGGAATGGAGATGCTCTAAATAAGATTTTGTATGCACAATTCATAGTTTAAATTCTTATACATGGGCAGTCAATTTTGATATCTTAAATATCTGATACTTCCAGGAATCCACAATGTGTCAAATGAGCTGACAATCACCACAAATTTTGACTTGTCCTCCCCCGAATTAGTAGAATCAGCAGAAGAGGCGGGGCTCTACAGGAAGGAGGATGGGGACTTCAACTTTTATCAAGTGTTTTCAGAGGAGTCTTCCGGAGCTCTCTCCAACTATCCAGGTTCCACGAGATACCTCCATGGGAAACGCCTCCTGAAAGAATTCACTTCAGAGGGTACAATTTTTGTGATGTTTTTAGGTCACCTGAGACAAAGTCTCAAGTGACCTATTGCGATCGCCTTTTGTCCGTCGTCGTCCGTCGTGCGTCCGTAAACAATTTACATTTTCGACTACTTCTCCAAAACCCCTAAACCAATTTCAATGAAATTTTGCAGGGACCTTCCATGGACAAAGGTCAACAAAAATGGTTGCCGGTTTAGTCCCAAGCCCCCAGGGGCCTGAGGGGCGGGGCCAAAAAGGGTCAAATTGACTAAAATTTCAAAAATATTCTTCTCAAGACCCAGATATGGTAGAATCAAATACTCTTCATATATGGAAGGGTGTTAAGGTGCTTTACCAAAATTGTGAATTTCTTGACCCTGGGGTCTCACGTCTTCCTGGGGAGGGGGTAAACTTTACTATAGTTTATATAGGGAAATCACATTTTGGACCAACATTTGTTTAATTTCCATTGGAAGTAATTCAATTTGGGTTAGCATTATCAGTATTAGGTAGCAGTTTGATA